TGCCTTCAAATGCACTATCATGTGCATTTAAACGGAGATGCAGCCCTTCAGACAAGTTGAGGTGATCTCTCTCTCTCTCTCTCTCTCTCTCATGTAATTATGAAAATTTGTTGCAGTTCCATTAAGATTCAACATAAATTTTTGATGTTCTCAACGTCCTGGAAGAGCCTTTAAGATACCTTTTTTTCATGTAACTATCACGGTAAACTACATCACGTTTACTAGACAAAAGGTAGCGATCATCAACTTTTTTTGTTCGTGTGGTCAGTTACTGGTACTGCTTTGACTCGAACAATTGGAGTGCCGTGTATAAACATACGGCTGGGAAGGACTACAAATTTAAAGCTGGTTATGATTCTGAGGTCCGACTTGGATGGGCGTCTCTCTGGGTAAGTCTTATTTTATTATGCTTAAATTTGCCTTTCAATTTCACGTGCAATTTGCTCAGTCTATTTTCTTTTCACGTGAAATGACATGGTCTGAACAAATATCAAACCTTCATTATGATGCCTGCATTTTGAATTATTCTTTTAAATTCCATTGAAACTAAGACGCTACTTTATCCGATTTTTCTTTATATATTTGTGCACTCATTCCTCAAGGGAAAATCTAGGATAGTAATCTAAATTACTCATTAAGAGTTTGTGAAGCAAGAGTAAGTTGTTCTGTAGTTAGCGACTTCAAATAAACATCAATTAGGAACTTCTAGCTGTCCAATGAGCATGGTTGAACTTCCCGCTATTGAATTTTTTAGTTTTTGTTAAAGAACGGTGAAAGCTTTTCAGAGTTTGTCATGAGTAATTCTGATGTTGAGTGACGCACAAGCATTACCAGTGATGCGTTTGGCCAGGTGCTCAAGTCAGAATTTCACCTATTTAACGGGTACAGAAGATGAAAATGCAGAGGAAACCATCTTTTAGTGCTGTCATGGTTTCCGAGTCCCTCTCTTGAATTTTTATTCTGGTACAGATCTATATATATCTTACAATAAAACTCACTTTCTTTCAATTGAACAACTAATGTGATGATGTGAATTTTTTTTGGTGTTTTCTCGTTTTTATCAACCCTCATACTAGTATATTATCGAAACCAATTGAAGTTTACTGTCGTCAAAACCTGAGCCAAATAGTAACTGTCATGTATTAGGCAATATTTAGTTAAGCAGATGAGTTTGATGCATGTTTTTGAGAAACAAAAATTTGAGTAAAGATACTTGGTCAGGATTGGTGACAGGAGAGAGGTGACAGGTGTTTGCGTGTCAGCGTCTGTTTGGGTGTTTTTTTCAAAATGTCCAATCAGTGATTGACATGTGTTACCTTGTCACCAAACCCTGTTTGTTAGCATAACTCCAAAAATTTTGATGTGTAATAAACCGTGTGGTTCCAGGTTGGAGATGAAGATGGCAAAGCAAAGACAGCTCCAATGAAGATGAAAGTGCAATTCATGCTCCAAGTTCCACAAGATGATATCAAATCATCTGTTTTAATGTTCCGTGTCAAGAAGAGGTGGGACATATGATTCTGTATTAATTAGAGTGGCTTGTTTGATTTTCCATCGGAGTATTCGGCATTACTATCATGTTGTAACTCCCCGAAATAATTTATTCTCCCTTTTTTTGTTTTGTTTTAGCTTCTGTTTCAAGATAATTTTTTATCACCCCTAGTCAAATCGTCTCAATTGAAGTTAAATTAAATGAAAAAGAAAAATCTTGATTATAGATACGTTCTTTTGAAAAAAATTAAAATATTTTCTTATTTTTTAACTACACGTTTTTCGTCAATACACTATTTAAAAATATATTTTTATGAAAATAATGTGGCTCAAACAAGGTTCTCATCTAAAAGGTTTGAAAAGTACGAAGAGAGAGAGAGAGAGAGATTATAATTTTGACCAATTTTCATTGCATATTTAGATATTATGGCCCAGATTGGTACACATTAATGTAAAAATGAAAATGAAAAATATGGTCGTCCCACACAAGAGATAGAAATTTAAATTTGGTAGCTTAATGTGATGGTCAACGATCATATTTTTCATTTTAATAAAGAAAAATGGGAAGTAAAAGGGGCTATATATTTTTAGTAGTCTACTATAATCACTCTACATTGTATAAGAGGAATGTATAAGCTCCCGTTTGAGAGTTATTTTTCACCCAAAAATATTAATTTTTTGATTGTTATTTTACTATTTCAGTTGTCATTTTTAACTTCTTCACTTATAGACGGCCTCCACTTTTTTCCTTAACGATCAAAAAATTAATTCTCAAAATTATTAACGAACATGTCCCAAGTATTAGAAAAAGGGAAAAGTTTATACATTTTTTTTTGGTTATTATAAAAATAAAATAAATTTTTATTTATAAATGTATTTAGATAACTTACTTTTCTACCACTTTTAAATAAAAAATTAACTTTTTCTGAAAAACATTCTTACAACTGTGTCAACATATGCAGGTTCCTTTAAAAAAAAAAGAAGAAGAAAAAAAGAAAAAAAAAAGCTCTGATTCACAAAAAAAATAATAATAATGAAAAATAAATAAATAAATTACTTATGAGCAATTTTACTTATTGTGTACAAAGATATTTGTATGACTCACTATTTTATTACCTTATGTAAAAGTTATAATTTTTCAAAAATATTTTTACATTATTATCAAAATAAATCACTCACTTATCATTAATTTTAATGAATACTTTTTCTTTTTCAACTATTCATGATTATAACAAGGATATGATTTATCGGTTGGATAAATAAAAGAATCGACCGGTTTAATAAATATTGGCGATCTCATAAGTGTTACTCAGTTGATCATGGTGATCGTGATTATGACTCTGACCGTAATTGTAACCGTAACCGTGACCGTGATCGTGACCGAAACCGAAACCGAAACCGAGACCGAATAAATATTAATTGATCTCATAAGTATCACTCGATTGGTACACACTAGGTATTTTCAGAACCAAAACGAAGAAGGTATCTAAATGCCAAACCTGCTCTAAAATTACTCGAGCAAAAATTAATAATTCCAGAAACCATATTACTGTCTTAAGCTGGGCCAAAAATTTCCCAATCATCTTCAAATTTCGTGATTACAGGGTTCTAGGGTTTGGTCATAGGAATGACTAATTTGCATGTTTGAATGGGGATTGAAAAATTCTTTCATTTGAGCAGTTGAGACAGATAGATTGATCTTTGAGGCTGATTTGATTTGTTGAAGAATGGCGTTTGTATACATACCGGTGCAGAACTCTGAGGAGGAGGTGCGCGTGGCACTGGACCAGCTGCCCCGCGACGCCACAGACATTCTCGATATTCTCAAGGCCGAGCAGGCTCCCCTCGACCTCTGGCTTATTATCGCCGTAAGTTTATTCATATACAGCTAATTGGTCTGTTATATGACACCAGTTCATGTATAAATAGGCATGTGAATGTTTTCAAATGTTTTACTGTGTTGTGCTGGAATAAAGATGTGCTGATTTTTATTTTTTATTTTATTTTATTTTTCTTATGAAGAACTGTGTTGTTTGTATCTATGAATTTGTGTTCGAATGACCTGATTTTGTATTCATGTTCGACATTTAGGACAATTGTTTTTGTTACTTTGGTGGGTATATCTAATGTATATATTTGGGTACTGAGTTATATCCTTTTTGTTCAAATTGAGGTACATTTGGGTGTTATATACAAATGGCTCGGGGGGCGGGGGGTGGATACAGCTCAGTTAGTAGAGCTCCACTCTTGCAATTGGGTTATTGTGATTATGGGTTGGATGTCTAACGCGTGCGTGCGTGAATTTGTCATTGAAATGAGACTTTTTTGTTTTTGAACTGTGTTTTATTGGTGGAGATACATGTCTACTTAAGGAAGTGTTCTACATAATCTTTTAGTTGTGCACAGTTCAAAGTTTTTTGGGCTGTGTGTGTGCAAAAATAGATGTTCGCTAAGACGAAGGTCTGGTTTAGAATTAAATTTTGTGTATCCTATGTGTTTACATGTGCATCACAACAATGATTAGGTATGGGTAAAATAACTTTCATGTCAGTAGTAATTGTAAAGTTGGATGCATTTGGCATTATTAAATGAGTGTTTAGCTGGATTCAGGTTGAGTTTAGTGCTTGTTGGGAGAAAATATAATCGCACTATAATTTGAAGTCGAAGTCAAACATTAATTTCAGCTATACATTCACAATTACTATCCGCTTATAATTCACACATCGAAATAGGATCCACTACTCCTTTTCAGTATAACCCCATTAAAAGTTCTCGCAAACAAGCTCTTAGACTTATAACTTACTTTGTGAGAAGTTGCCATGTCTCACGTACAATTGTAACTTGTGTTCGGGAAGTTGAATTTTTTGATACTTCTAATTTTTGTTATTCATGTTCCAAGTATGAGAGCTAGTTATAGATTCAGGACTTGGTACAAATGTGGATTGGAATCTGTTGCTTGCACTTGTATCAATTTTGTATGTTGTGTATGAATTTGCTAGTTTGGGTGCAGAGGGAGTACTTCAAACAAGGTAAAATTGAACAGTTTCGACAAATATTGGAAGAAGGGTCTAGCCCAGGTAAATTTTCTTCTCGTAATGTTGATTTGCTGACATTCCTTTTAGATGATAAAACATTTCTATATGTTAGATTCTGATGAAGATTATTGTTCTACAGAAATCGATGAATATTATGCAGATGTGAGATATGAGAGGATTGCCATTCTAAATGCTCTGGGGGCGTATTACAGCTATCTTGGCAAAATAGAGACAAAACAAAGAGAAAAGGAAGAGCATTATATTATGGCGACACAGTACTATAACAAGGCATCAAGAATAGACATGCATGAACCTTCAACTTGGATTGGGAAAGGTAAACAACCTTTTGCTGCTTCTTGTTACTTGGCGGTGCTTGGGCAGTAAAATCTAGATTACATTGACTATCATAGACACATAGATTATATAAACTGTTCTCGAGGTCTTGAGAAATTTGTTTTATGATATTGGAGCACTGTACTGGAAAAAAAAAATTCTGCAAATAGTGTATTGCTGCCACTGTTTATAGCATATATGTGGCCTTGAAATGAGCATCTACTTTCAAAATCAGGAGTAGCTCATTGTATTTTAGAATTTATCCTTCCAAACATATGGTCTTATGTGGAAAATGGAATGAGCATAAGATGAAAATTTCAGGGATATGTCAATTGTAAATCCCCCCCCCCCCCCCCAACTTTTTTCCCCCAATTTGAGCGAAATTAACATCTTTAATGGAAATTCATCTAAGTTAAAAAAAAATTACTAAGTCTGTGGGAGAGATAGAGAGAGTGAGGTCGTACATCACTTCTGGTATTGGAAGATGTATGGGATTGAAAAGTTAAGGATCTTGACGATGAGATTAAATTGGGGGCAAGTTATGTGTGCTCCATTATTATTAGGGAAAATTGCAACGGCGGTCCATATCCTTTTCGTTTTCTACAGAATTTATCTTAATCTTCATTTTATGTTAGCGAAGATCCCTAACTTTTTATAAATATGCACCTGAGGTCCATTTGGACGGAAACTGTCCAAAACACCGACAGTTGAGTGGGAAAATTCCTTAAACTATCTGCTACGACAACAGTTTTACTGGATGTTGATATCTTTTTGGACGGTGTTTTGGATGGTTTTATTGGATGTTGATTCCTTAATTCTCCCGGTCAATTGATGGTGTTTTGGACGGTTTCCATCCAGATGGATTTGATGGGCATATTTATAAAAGATTAGGAAATTCCATTGGCACAAAATGAAAGTTAGGGTAAAGTCTGCAAAAAATTAAAAGGTTGGGGACCACTCACTATTGGAATTTTCCCTTATTATTAGTATTATTATTATTATTATTATTATTTCTTTTTTTTTTGGGGGGGGGGTGTTTAAATTGTGGACTTTGTTGCATATTTTGATGTTGATTACTTTGTCAAGGTACTTGAATCCTGCATTTAAGATCTAAAAGGTAGTGACAAGAAGATTAGGAAATATTTATTTATATTGAAGGGTTAGAACTGAGCTGAGCATGACGGCACCTGTGAACATGTACGCACTGAGCTCTTTTCATTTGCACAATTACAGAAAGTGCAGGTTTTTCTCAAGGTGGGGGGAAAAATTGTTGAGTGTTTTTAATTATAATTTTTCTTTCGAAATTTGAATGATGGTTGGGTGGTTATCGATTGAAGCAAGGATTTTCTTGGCTCTGTAGAGTTAAGTCCATTAGTTGCTTCTCTGGCATATATAAATATTTTTTATTTTTATTTTTTGTGAATAATTCTATCGTTGTTTGGTTTTTGGATTCCTTCATTGTTGTATTTCTTCTCTGCCAGCTTATAATTATATGCTTGCACACATTCTCTTTTACAGGTCAGCTTTTACTGGCCAAGGGTGATGTTGAACAAGCATTTAATGCTTTCAAGATTGTGCTGGATGGAGACCGCGATAATGTTCCAGCTCTTCTTGGTCAGGTACTTTCATTTTAATGCTCTTTGTGTAAAATGATTTAATCAAATATTTTTTATTTTAACTTTTGTGCTTGTTTGGAAAATTGCTTATAGACATGCTGGATTGTGCCTTTTTAATAAACGATTTGAATGGTCAGGGTGCATCCCAGTTAA